GTATAGCCAATACATCCTTAAGGGAAAATTAAAGGACTCAATTGGGCTCGTGTACAATTCGTAACATTAAATTAAAACCAATTGCTGTTCGTCAAAGTCTCGAATAATGATTTTTAACATATTTAACATGACATGATTTTTAACTTTTGAAACATCCCGTTCGTAAATCCAAGTTTGTACAACAGTTTAGAAAGGTTGTTTCCGAAAGGTTTTCAATTCTTGGTCTCAAATGAAGTTCGAGTTGCACAAGTCGATACTCGGTGCCCGAACAATCTTCTCGACAAACTTTCGAGTTTCCACCGGAAGGCGAATGCCTAACTCGATCCGAACTTACAGATACCCGCAGACCCTTAAGAACGACACAAGTAGATGTTAGATCGTCACCGAAACAGTGTCTCCACTTTAATTTCAACAAAGATCAAACGTCCTTTCCATCTCACGAAACGTCACGTTCGTCTACTCAATTATTTAGTTTCTCAAATCTGAATTTTATTTCGTTCCCTAAAAGCGAGCTTATAAGATCCCCGTATAAATTTTGTTATTTTTAACCCTTCCGGTACGATTTAATAATAAATCCAAAAAGGAGCTAGACTCATCATTTTACCGGAAGGGGTTAATTCATGTTCGATGGAAGATTTTTTTGAACATCGACAATGGATTTTCTAAGCTCGTTCGAATGCCCATGTTCAAATTCGTGAAGGGTTCCCTCCGCCCTCTTCTCTCCCTGAGCCGCAGCCACCCCCCCCACCCCCCCCTCTTCGCCCCTCGACCATAAATGAACAAAACCAGCTGACAAAAGCGGAAGAGCGCAGCATGGAAATATGCACACCTTCCTCGTACTGGATTACTCTATATTACAAATCGTCTACCGTGAACCGTATAATTATGATAATCACATCGCAGTATCATCTGTCTCACGTTCCATCTGATCGGATATTTGATGATGATGATAGCTCTCACTGATCAACTTGGGCGCGATCTGGGCCGGCGCCGCCGACATCCCGGCCTTCCGTTCCATGAGAACACTGAGGGCCTTGAGGCCTTTACGAGCCGTTTCACGATGGGAGGGCATGAGAGTAAGTCGACGAGAACCAATGAAAA